GAGTAGGTACATTTTTTATGCATGTAAAGGTTCTGGGTACTTGGTTGGTTTTGTGACACAGACTGCTAGGTCCAGGTTTTCCAATCTTAGTTCTCTCCCATTTCTTTTTCACACTGCAACCACAGAATCACAAAATGGCAATGGTTGGCAGGGACCTCAGGAGATTGTCTAGTCCAACCCCCCTGCTAAAGCAGGCTCACCCAGAGCAGGTTGCACAGGACTGCGTCCAGGCAGGCTTTGAATATCTCCAGCGAACGAGACTCAACAGCCCCCTTGGGCAGCCTGTGCCAGTGCCCTGATACCCTCGAAGTAAAGAAGTTCGTCCTCACGTTCAACTGAAACCTCTTTATGTTTCAGTCTGTGCCCATTGCCCCTTGTCCTGTCGCTGGGCACCACTGAGAAGAGTCTGGCTCCATCCTCATGACATCCACCCTTGAGATATTTGTACATGTTGATAAGATCCCCTCTTAGTCTTCTCTTCTTCAGGCTAAACAAACCCAGCTCTCTCAGTCTTTCCTCAGAGGGGAGATGCTCCAGCCCCCTAATCGTCCTTGTTGCTCTCCTCTGAACTCTCTCTAGGAGTTCCTCATCTTTGAGATCTGCTTGTCAAGCACTAGGATTCATCTTTGCATCTCTGGGATGGGAACTGGTACAGACAGTACTCCAAAAAAAATGATGCTTCCTGGAGGAGACCATTCTCACCCATCAGCCAGGGCAGCTCTGATTAGGAGCCAGGATGGGATCACTTTGATAGGAGCTGAAATGTGCTGATATGACTGTCCTTGGATGTTATGTCAGGTCTGAGATCCAGATGCTTTAAAGAATACTGAAAATTATCAGAAGAGTTCAGAAAGTTCTGTGGCCTGTTTAATGTACGTAAGAAAGGATAGGATTAAGAGGGAAGTGCCTCTGAGTACTTCTTTCTCCAGATTTGGAAGTAAAAGGCTATCCTCTCAGGGACAGAGGCAAAGCAGTACCCATGGCTGGAAGGTGAAATTATTTCAGTCACTGGTTTTTATGGTTTCCAACTTTTAACTGAGGGTGACTGTTAATCATCAGAGTTACAGGATGTGGTAAATTCAGTCTTTAACCAAGGAAACATTTTCAGAAAGAAATTTTTTTGTTTTGAACTAGAGAAGTTTAGGGCTGAATGAAGTCATTTCTGGCTGCAGAGGAACAAACTGATGTCTTAATGACCTGTTTCTGTTTGTTTCTCTGATCCTCTTTGTGGTGCTGCTTCAGCTGCGGTACAACGGACTGCTGGAGACAATCCGTATCCGAAGAGATGGTTTCTCCTGGAGACCCTCATTTGAGGAATTTGCTGAAAGGTTTGTTAAAGCCTCTGAATGCTCCTTGTTAGATAGTGTTAGGGAAGTGACCCTGGTAACGAGATAGGGGCAAGGAGTGAAACAGCCTCTTCAAAGTTCACATGCCTGAGATCATGGGGTGGTTTTCTGTGGGAGGCTGAGTGGGAAAGACAGGGATTTATTGTTGTTTGCTGTGAGGGTGACATGGATCAGCTCAGCACATCAAGGATGTGGCTCTTATCTTGCTGTATTGGTTTGTTTTTCACAGATATGGAATTCTTCTAGTTAAACCAGACATTTCCCTCACAAAAGAAAGGTAGGAAACCTTCCTTTATTACGTGCAATCCAGGTTGTTCTTCAGAAATTTTTGCTCTGAGTAGCATAGCAAACTGAGTAAAAGGAATAAAGTAAGGATGTTTTCTTTGTGGTGACGTGGAACACAAATCCCTAGGCAAGGACAGTTAGTGTTTAAAAAGCATTTGGTACAACGGTGAATGAAATCTTTCTTGAATTGCTGTATAACAATTCAATTCAATTACTATAGAGCCTTGCTATCCTGTGGAATGAGAACTGGCTAATGTACTCAATTTAGGGAGACACAATAATGGCCAAGGAGGTCAACTGAACTCGGTATGGCAGGGGTTCAGCACAGTTGCCAGGTGCCTCTCCAGGCTTTTTCCTGATGGCCTCATGGGAGATGAAGGAGATAAAAACAATGCTGAGTGAGCAGCCAGGACTGAATGTCTCCCAGGCTAGAAAGGTTGTTTCTGGTCCAAGAATTTTTTATGTGTACAGGCATAATATATCCCCAGCACTTTCAGAACCTGACTGTTCCTTACGCACATAAATGTCCCTCCAGCTCTGCAGTCTTACCCTGTCAGCTTTTTACTTCCTACATCTAGGTCAGCAACTCCCCACTTCTTTTCCACTTTACCAGTCCCTCCTTCCTGCCAATTGTGACTGATAGTGAAAATGAAGCATGTAGGGCAGCCAGCTGATTTTTGTCTTATAAGAAAAGGATTTGAATGTTCTTCCGGAAAAGTTGTTCTCTCCTGGCAGTAGCTCCTCCAACCTTCACAGAACTTTGTTGAAGTTACTGATTAATACTGAATTAATAAGAACTGCAAAGCCAATTGAGACCCCAGTCAAGAGACAATTTCATGGATGAGAAAAAGGTGATGGTAGACAGGCAGGTGTGTTTTCAGGCACAAAAAATCATAAGCTGCTGAAAAGAATTAGAAAAGAAAATAATTACCTTGGGTATAGATTCTGGCACAGCAGAAGTTGGCTGAGATAGAAGGAAAACCACTTCTGCTTTGCTATATGAGATGTTAGCAAAGCGTGCCACTATGGTTTCACAGCCTGGATTTGGAGGCAGAGGGAGGAAGGTGTCTGTGTGGTGCAGCTAGACTATTGCTTTCAGTTCCAAGAGTTGGTGAATCTTTCTGAGTGACCCAGATTTTATCACTAGAGTTTGCAAAATGAAACTGGAACTGGAAAACAGGCTTTCTCCTGGAAGCCTTGCTGTGCCAACCTTGCAACTTGTGCGCTCCAAAGAGCCTGGAAGTGAAATGAGGAAAACCAGTTCTGAGAAAAAAATAGGCTCTGCAGAATTGCATCCCAGGGAGTTGAAGGAAATCTGCTTCTAGGAAACCTGTTTGCTGATGTTCCTGAATGCGATCCTAGCTGAACCTCAATCCGTACTACAGGTTGACAGCTGGTTACTGAATGTGGTCGGGTGACAGGAAACAGAGGATGTAATGCAGAATCATTGAGGCGCTTTCTTCCCCCTTTATGCACCTAAAACCACTAGCTGCATGGTGTTCACTTTGGGTGGAAAATGATTTATTTAACTTTATTTCCTCTCTTTCAGCTGCTTGGAGATACTGCAAAGTACAGAGCTGACGGGTTGGATATGTGGGTAGGTGTGGATCACTGTTGCTGGGAATGAGGGGCCTGAAATGCAGAGAGTTTATACATGTAGACTGTTATCTGGTTCTCTTCAGGGAGAACTTTGTGGCTGCAGGGAAAGGCCTGTCCAAAGGATGACTGGATGCAAGTTTAGACAAACTGTTTCTCACTGCTCCTTTCTCTCCCCAACTTCTCAGGAAGTCACGACTTTTCTTTAAATACTGGCACCAGGAGCAGCTGGCAAAGTATGTGGACCAGCTGGAAAGAGCAGCAGTTGTCATACAGAAAGGTGAGCACTGGGGCAGGAGAGTCCCTCAACTCTGGTCTCGGACCAGGGCAAGGAAAAACTTCTCTGCAGTCCCTGCTCCACCGCTGCACCTTTGCAGATGACAGAAAGGCAGGCCAGGCACCATCTCTATGTCAAGGCCCTGTGGAGTCAGAGCGCGTGTTGCCCACCTCCTTGGTGCTCATCCTCAATCGGGGAGAGACATCAGACAGTGTGAGCCTTGGAAAGGGAAAGCACATGTGTAGGAGAACTGAGCTGATCAGGGCAAGCATATGATTTGGCCGTATCCCAAGATCTGGGTAACCATCCTCTGGAGTGAGGGCTTGTTTGTGAGTGGTGTTGAACTGAGGAGAGGGAAGAGGAGTGAAGCAGATCTCATTCCTACCTTGAGAGACAGGCAGAAGGGGATGAAGTTTGGGGTTGGTGTGGTTTTTAACTTTCCTTTCCAGGTAGCATCTGCTCTGGCAGCGTATTTCTCCAGAGCAGGCACTGTGGGCAATTTGGTACTTCCCTCTGCCCAGGCTCCATGAGGACTGTGCAGCCAGGAGGAGGAGTCTGTCACCCTGCCTGGTCCCCCTCTGTTGTACTTCCCTTCTGTACGGGTTGTTGCACTGCTGAAGCATCTGAGCAGCTTCCAGCTATGCACTGTACAGTATGACAAACATCAGACTGTCACATGCTGTGCCTTGCTCTTATCCGTGGGGAAGATGTGTGGGTAGTGGGAAATGAGAGGGTGCAGCTTTCAGTTCATGTGCTTTAGTACCTGGTAGAGTAGGCGGGATAATGCAGTGGCTCTAAAGCTCCTGATGAACCCTGTGATGGCTGATTACGGGAAAGGTTATCCTGTGGGCTGACACCAAGGAAATCCCATCTCCCACACAGAAGAGCTTTGGTCTGAAGGGTATCAGGGAGACAGATGGTTAACAAAGGCCCTTCTGTGAGATTTTGGTTTTTAGGTATCCTGTGCTTTGGCATTAGAGATGAGAGCTTAGATCTGTAGTTTGATTTTTTTTAAATCGGTGATCTGGAAGCTTAGAGGGTAGAAGACAGTTCTCACTGGTTTTGACTACCTGCTCAAGTAGAGTCTGCACTGCTCTCTATTAATGTGATTGAAGTGTTGAGTGCTTTGCACCCGGTGAAGGAATATCACCCAGTGTGCTTCCCCAGGGAGAGACAAAGGCATGACGAGCATTTTTTTTTTTTCCTAACCACAGCTTTTCTCTGAACAGTTTTCAGGGGATTCAGATACAGGAAGAGTTACCTAAAACTGGTGGCTGAGCTGAGAGCTCAGGCACAGCGGCTACAGGAGGAGGCAGAGAGAGAAAGAAGCCGGCAGCTGGCGGTGGAAGCAGTGGCCCAGAGTGAGTTGCTCCCACTCCCACTGCCCCTGTGCGTGGCCACTCATGCGATGATCACCTCGAAGTGCTGTAAGCTCCAGGTGATGATGGCCTGCCCTTGGCTGTCCTGGGGCTTGCGGCTTCACTGATGCGGTGGGCAGAGAGGTGCTGACATGTCTGCCATTTGAGAAAAGTGCAGCTCTCTCTGTGGGGAGCAGGAGCAGCATGGTGAGGGTCATTTGCCTGGCTGTGTTGGGAGGAGTGCGAAGCTGTGTCCTTCCCACACACACCGTGCAGCAGAGCCTGTCCCTGTCCTGGGCACGTGGAGGATGGATCTCATGGATCGTGGATGCTAAATTTCATCTACTTCTTTCCTCTCGTTGCAGAAAGAATCTCCTTTCCAGTCCCCATGCCACGAAAGAGGCGGCCTCAGCCTTGTCCCCATCCTCCTGAGAAGCCACCACAGCCACCAGTGCCACGGCCACGCAGCAAATTAACAGAGGTAACAATATGGGCTCAGCTCGGGGCCCCTTAGCAAGGTGTGCCTCTTCCCTGCTCCTTCCACCTTTTGCATGCACATGTTCTCCTGCATGTGGTCCCAGGAGAGCATTGTCATTCTTGTTAGGAGAAGTGAGAGAGCCCTTTCTTACTGTGAGTGGTTAAAAAGTGTGGTCAGGACCACTGAGGAACTGAAACGTTTAATAGTTTGCAACTGATCTTGTCTTAAGGGACTCAGGATCCACTACCAAAGTGATCCCTTCAGAGGTCCCCTGCCTTTGACCTTGCTTTCATGCCTACTTTCCCCCTCTCCCCACTTTCAGTTCACTCCTTTTGATAACTTCTTGGGTCCTTCTGGGCCTCACCATATTCTGGGGACAGAGGAAGAGACTGGAGAAGAGGCAAAAATGAGGAAGCTCAAGAGAGGAGCAACTCTCCGCTGGTTCAAAGAGACACAGGCCCAGAAGGTCATGCAGGATGATGGGGCCTTTCCAAGCTGGCTGCATGGAATGATCAGCCGGAGGTGAGTATGCTGGACATAGTGGCCACAGCTCAGGCTGTGGCAGGCAGGCAGAAGCTCCTGTGTCCTTAGGAGGACTGCACAGGTTGGATTTGCCAGGATTTGCCTCCTTAAGCAATGGGAGTGACCTGCATTGCCTTTCACTTTTAGGCTGTAAGCTTCAAATACTGAGACTTTACATGGGTCCATGAGAATACTGTGGAAACTCATAGGAAATAAGTCCACTGTAGGTTCCTAAATATAGCATCCTGTGCAGGGAAGGGAGGCTTGGAAAGTACTTGGAGAGGAAATACGTGCATGCGTTTACCCTCTTGTGGACCGTTTGCAGAGACGTGATATGGAGTGAAGATGGACTTTTGGTCTGACTCATTATGACTGTTCTCATATCTCTCAGTCTAGTTCAGGAGGAGACCTCACTTTACAGCAAGGGGATACAGAATTCAGTGTACATTTATTGTAAAAAAGTATTAAGAGGGTCTTTAGTGGGTACCCAATAGCAAGATTCCCCCAAAGCCCCCAGAGACAGGAAAAAGAAGGCTGCATGCTTGCTGCCAGTATCTCTTAGTTGGTGGAACTTGTGTGGGGGCATTGCTGTGAAGCGTGGCTGTCATTTCAACACCCTTATCATCTTGTTCCAGTTTGTAACTTTTTTCTGTTAAAGATGCAAGTCTCCTTCAGTCTTATTAGATCACGAGTTCCTTGATTTTGTCAGTTTATCGGTGTGAACGTTACTCAGAGACATTATACAGCATTGTTAGCTCAGTAAAACACACTACAGTAGCTGACAGCTCCCTGGTGGCTGCATTATTTTTCTTTTTTTAAGGTAATTAACAAGGCCCCCAACAGATGTGCACAGATCCAAGAATGTAGGAGAGGAACTAGCGCCTGGAAGACAAAACTGTCTGATTTCGAATACAGGCTAGCCTTGAGCACTTCACAGTGAAGGACGTAGCAGATCCTTCCCAAAGGCACTGAAGATTAGATACTTTTGAAGTGGTGCTTCCTGTTACTGTATTTAAGTCTGCATACAGCAGTATAGGCTCAGCCTCATGTAAGAGCAGCCAGAGCAATCCCAGCCTGCACTGGTGATTTGCAGCCACCTTTGCCTGGAGCAGGGCATGTGACAAGCACAAAGC